AAAAAAATATTGAATTTCTATTACTTCTATATTAAGTTTTGTATTGAAAATAAAGATCTAAAGTAAAAATAAAAGAAACAGATTTGTTTTACCAGTTAGTAAAATAATAAATTTAGTTTTAGATTGTCTTCACTCTCATTTAGTTTTCATACTAAATTTTTGGAATTTAAATTGTTACCAACATTTTTTGGATAGCAAATATGTTGATAAAGTAAAGATTAAATTCAAAAGATAGCAATATATAAAAGAATAAACATGAAAAATCTCCATTAATTTTTTAAGGATTTAAGAAATAAGTGGGTTTCAAAAGTAATTTACTTAGAAAATTTCTTAATTAGTTTAAAATTTAAAATTCATTATATTTTTTCTTCTGAATTTTAAAATATAATTATGATATATAATTCAATTACAGATTTATATATCTTCATTTGCATTAAGTGTTTAAAAAAAATGTTAAGACTTTGATTTTTCTTTGTGATTTGACTGCTCTGTTGTATATATTAATTTAGACCTTTACCCCCTTATTAAATTAACGATTTAGAAAAATATTTAAAATAATTGAGTATATTTATAAGTATAATTGGATAATTAAATCATCTAAAAAAAGAATATCAAAAATTTTGGATAAATAGTCAGTAATTAAGGATAGTTCCTGAAATTCAATAAAAGATCCATAAGGCCAACTCTTTTACAATTTATCAATAATTTCAGATATTTACGCTAGTATATATCTTTCACTTAACTTTTTAATATAAATATCTTTGATTAAGAGCTTATCCTGATCGTTCAGCAAAATAATCCCTAATTCTTCTATAATCGATATCCACAATACTACTTTTCAGTTATTCAGATTGATTGGTTTAACTCAGAATAACATAATTTGAAAAAGGACATTGATTTTTGCATATATTTTTTCTGAAACAAACTTATTTTATTAAAAATTTTAAAGAAAATTTTATTTATAGGTCTTAAGGAAATTAATTTAGGTAATATATATTTTAAAGGCAAACACTTATATGTTAGTTACTCTGAAGAATCTACAATAAAATATGGTATATAATTATCTTGCTGATTAAAATATTCATTTCCGGTTCTCATGAAATTTGCAAAAACATAGAGATGTATGCCATAATCTTTTTATTTGATTTCATTCAAAATTTCATCAAAAAAGTATAATTTTCATATTAACCTTTTACTTTGATGTGTGCATAATAAATTCCCTATTTTGTATTGAATTATAATCTTAACAACTTAAAATAATAAATAAATATGAAAATACTACAATATAGACAAATTAAAAAAAACATAACACAAAATTACTCAAAAAATTGGCAAAAATTTTTCTAAGATTTCTTGAAACGAAATAAGTTAGTTATTGGCTGATAATCTAATATGTTTATATGTTGTTTATTAATAAAATATTAAATTAGAAAATGAAGAGAATTTGAAAGAAATTTAATCTTCTTACAACAAAAAAAGGGTTGAAGAGTCAAAAAGTAACTAGAATAAGTTACCATTTATAAATGGTAAACATAATAAGACTATCTAATTATTTGATGTTCTGCGTTATAGTGTTTGTAAATCAAATTTAAACAATTATTTAGATGAATTTGACTTGGAAAAAGCAAATTAATCAACTCATCCTAAATTCTTAAAAGGTTTATGTACACATAAAGAGAGGTTAATTTGGTATATGAATTTGAAATAACATAAATTTTTAAACATATATCATATGATGGTCTTTAAAAAGATGGTGAATTAAGATCTTGGGGTGGTGGAATCAATAGAGAAACTTTTTAAGATAATCCCCTACAAATTCTATATATTTTTTTTCTGATCTAATCAATTTATTAAGATAATACATATGATTTGGTTATTCATTGATATATGTTTTTTGTAACTTAAGATTTTAATTTACACTGACTCTATTTTAGTTATCGTACTTTAAGGTTTTTACAGGTAAGGGCTTAATATCATAGGCTTTATCAAAGTCTTTATCTTATATTTAATTCAAAGTAAATAAAATTATTTAAAATCAAATATACTTGGATTAAAATCCGAGAACTCATCCAAATTGGAGGAAATATTTGATTAAAAAATTTTTTATTTCTCAATTCTATAAACTAATTAGTTGATTTAATCATAAAGTGTGTAATTTTTTTCCTTAGTTCTTTTGTAATTTGGATAAACTTGTAGTATTCTCTTAACCTAAATTTCTAAAAATCTCTAGCAATTGGTCTTTAATTTCGAAAACCTTTCTCCGCTTTTTATCTGATGGGTTGGAGAAATGAGTATATCAGAAATATTTTGAATAAAATCATTCAAATTGCATAAGGCCTACTTCTCTATATTTCTCATTAAGTCCATCTTATAAAATTAGAGTTAAATCAATAAAATTTCCCCATTTCTTTGCTTTTATTTTCAGATCTTTGACGCAACTTTTCTATTCAAAGACTTATTCATTAGACCCTTATGTCAAACTAATTACTTAGATAGCTTTATTATCTTTAGCCTTCCTTATCCTGAAGATTTATTCCTTCTAACAATTTTTCACATAATTCTTAGTACTTAGTCAGTATGGCATGCACAGCAACTTATTCTATTTGAGATTGCTATTGACTAATTTTCATTTCTCATTAACTGGCTGAAGTCCTTATCTATTATAAATTTTCTGCTGATAGATTCCTGTTGTGAAATTGGAACAATTTTTCTTCATGTAGTTTTATATATTGATTCTATAAAACCTCCTTATTTATTAATGTAATAATTCTCTATTAATCTTTCAGTATTCTATAATTATAAAATTAAAGGTTCTTTAAAATTAATATCATTACTCAATGCATCTTTAATTAATGAATTATCACTAATAGTCATTTATAAATTCAAAGAATTATTATAATCTATTAATTTATGAAATTTTTTTAAAATATGAAGATATTATATTAAATATGATCATAGTAAAATTAATCTTCAAATTTAATTATTATATATAATCTATTAGCTTTGATATGTTAAAATTATATTGTAATTAAATTTTTACTATTAACATTAATTAATAAATAAAATCTANTAAGATAATCCCCTACAAATTCTATATATTTTTTTTCTGATCTAATCAATTTATTAAGATAATACATATGATTTGGTTATTCATTGATATATGTTTTTTGTAACTTAAGATTTTAATTTACACTGACTCTATTTTAGTTATCGTACTTTAAGGTTTTTACAGGTAAGGGCTTAATATCATAGGCTTTATCAAAGTCTTTATCTTATATTTAATTCAAAGTAAATAAAATTATTTAAAATCAAATATACTTGGATTAAAATCCGAGAACTCATCCAAATTGGAGGAAATATTTGATTAAAAAATTTTTTATTTCTCAATTCTAAAGTGTGTAATTTTTTTCCTTAGTTCTTTTGTAATTTGGATAAACTTGTAGTATTCTCTTAACCTAAATTTCTAAAAATCTCTAGCAATTGGTCTTTAATTTCGAAAACCTTTCTCCGCTTTTTATCTGATGGGTTGGAGAAATGAGTATATCAGAAATATTTTGAATAAAATCATTCAAATTGCATAAGGCCTACTTCTCTATATTTCTCATTAAGTCCATCTTATAAAATTAGAGTTAAATCAATAAAATTTCCCCATTTCTTTGCTTTTATTTTCAGATCTTTGACGCAACTTTTCTATTCAAAGACTTATTCATTAGACCCTTATGTCAAACTAATTACTTAGATAGCTTTATTATCTTTAGCCTTCCTTATCCTGAAGATTTATTCCTTCTAACAATTTTTCACATAATTCTTAGTACTTAGTCAGTATGGCATGCACAGCAACTTATTCTATTTGAGATTGCTATTGACTAATTTTCATTTCTCATTAACTGGCTGAAGTCCTTATCTATTATAAATTTTCTGCTGATAGATTCCTGTTGTGAAATTGGAACAATTTTTCTTCATGTAGTTTTATATATTGATTCTATAAAACCTCCTTATTTATTAATGTAATAATTCTCTATTAATCTTTCAGTATTCTATAATTATAAAATTAAAGGTTCTTTAAAATTAATATCATTACTCAATGCATCTTTAATTAATGAATTATCACTAATAGTCATTTATAAATTCAAAGAATTATTATAATCTATTAATTTATGAAATTTTTTTAAAATATGAAGATATTATATTAAATATGATCATAGTAAAATTAATCTTCAAATTTAATTATTATATATAATCTATTAGCTTTGATATGTTAAAATTATATTGTAATTAAATTTTTACTATTAACATTAATTAATAAATAAAATCTAAAAACCCTGATCATTAAATTGCTTATCGTTTAAAAAAATTACTAAAAATATGACCTGCGAATGGCAAAAAATTTGAGGGAAAAGGAACAACTTTCTTACAAAGACGTAGGATTTAATTGAGCCCCTGTTCACTCTAAACTTTTGGTAGATGAGTATTGATGATAATAATATTCTCTTTCAGAAAAAGGTCTTCAAATTTGAATACCCCCTATCTTGAAAATGTACATGTGTAATTCTGCCATATTGATATAAATGGTGAAGTATTGTATAAAAGGTAAGGTAATGGGAAATTTGTGCTCGATTAAGAATACACTGAGGTCACAATTAAAATTAAAAAAAGGAACAAGAATGGTTGGAACAAGGAAAAATCTAATTATAAGTACCTAAAGATTTCCTATGAAACAATCTAAACTATGTTTGCAGGTGATCTATACATTTTAAGATAAGCAAATAGGATTTCTTATGAAGATATTTTATTTTATTTTATAAATTATAGATTTTTGAGCCGAAAGATTCTTTTTTTGAGTTTTAAATTATGAAAGATAATACTATTATTAAAATTTATTTTTATTCATTATTGAAGGAAGTACTAATAAAATGATTTTTGTATTAAAAAAGAAATTCCAATTATCCAAGAAAATATAATGTAAATATTATTTTGATATTTATTAATATTAATAATTTTCATTCTTCCATATATTTTCTAATTTATATTACTTTAGATGAAATATCCCAAGAAATAAAATACTCTCCATCATCACTCAATTACCCAAATAGCTCATCTGTTTTAAATGGAATAGACTGCTCAACTTTAAATCCATCTTTTTCTGTCTTTCTTAAAAAATAGACATACTTACTATGCTTATTCACTAGAATCTATTTTTATTTAATAAATTATTATGGAAAAAATGAGAAATTATCTTTACCTTAATTTATAGTAATATTTTGTGTTTTAGCGAACTCTCTACTTACTTTATTCATTTCATATACGTGCATCAAATTGCTATTGCAAGGTTGAAATGTGAATAGATTGTTGTTGATAAAGCATAATCTCTTACCATAACAATCAACTTTTATTTTTTATATTAACATCCATATTTTACTTTATTAAGAGTACTCTATTACAAATATTTCATTATCCTTTCCACAAGAAATAACTTTATCTTGTTAATCATTTATACTTATTTAATAAACCTTACTAGTATGATCAGGAATAGTTTATTAACAGATCCATTGATTTTGTTTAATCCAAAATTTAATAGTTGTATCATAACTACAAGATACAAAAAAATTTTCCCAGTTATCCAAAATTAAACAAGAAATATAATCATTATGTATTTTTATTGTTTCTAAGGGATTCCATTAACTATTGTTATTGCTCTACCAAATTACAATAGATCCAGCATCATCTCCAGATATCAACTAATTTGATTTTTAAATGAAATTTAAAGTATTTACATTATTTTTATGTGCTTTTAAGATATGAGTTTATTTCATTATTCCTTAATTGAATTAATATAATTTTATATGTTTATTACAACCAATTGCTACAATTGAGCCATCTTTACTAACTGTAAATACACGACATCTTTTTTCTTCCTTAATTGACTTATCTTTTATTATTTCGTATTTAAATGATTATATTAAAGGTTATTAAGTATGTTAAACTTATTCATTGGTTTTTGAATTGATGAATGATTCCACTTCTTCAAACATTTTTGAAAAAAAATCAATTAAATTGAATTAATTCATTTCTTTTTTTATCTTTTCATTAAAAGCTTCGGCTACTAAATTCAACTAATTCTCCAAATTATCTAATTTTGCTATATACTAGTTTTTCTCAGCACTCCTTAAATCTAATTTGTTGTGAAAAATTTATACTAAATTTTCTAATTCAGTATTAGAGGATTGTGCTAGATTTAGATTTCCGTATAAAAGATTTATGTATTTTTGATTTTCAAGTTCAATCATATCGTATATCTATTTTATAGTTTTTGCTAATCCTTCCTAAATTTCTTTTATTATAGTCTCAATTTTTGAAAGTATGGATTTTCTTTAATCTAATAATTTAGACTACTCATCTAACTTTGATTCTTTTTTTTTCTTGACAAGAGTTTCTTCAAATTTATCAATAGGAACTGTTTGTTTTAGATCCACTCCATGGTTATAAAGGCATTCAATACACAACTTCCTCTATTAACACTGGTGAGAAGCTATACATATTAACGAAACTTAATGGTTAAAATGCCAAGTGCAATTCATGAACTTTTTAAAAAAAATATTGATTTTCTATTACTTTTTTTACACTATGAATTAAATATTATCTTATATTTTTAAGTTAATAATAAAGACTAAAGTTTTAAAAAAATTGAAATTGTAAATGTGGTTAATTCGTTTATTGAGAAATAAGATCAAGAATTTTATAGCTTAATCTTGAATAAAAGATTCTTATTATGAAAAATTGAATTTATTAATCTTAAATTTATATTGTCTAACAAGAATTGCTGCTATTTTTGTCTAATTTTATTCAAAGTATTGACTTACTAATATATAATTATTGTTAATCAAAAATTTTGTGAAGAGATTTCATTTACATTTATAATTGATAATATTAATATGGCAGTTTTTTTAGTCTTTTCTTGAGGTATTGAAGGCAGTGTAATTAAACCAAAAAATCACCTTCTTTCAAAACTATGAGAATCATACCATTAATTGTAAAATTAAAACTTCAATATTGATTTTGTGTTCCTATGTTCTCATCTCCATCGTACAAAAAAGGAGACGAGCAGGTAGATAGAAGAATTAATAAATGGGGTTAGAAAGAGGTAATACAGATTCTAGTTCTAAAATAACTCATCGACTTTATGAACTTATAAAGAATTTATAACAAACACCAGTAAATTTACAGTTGGACAAATTAAGAAAGTTCTATCAATAATATATTTACTATTAGGTATAATTGTAAATAGTCTACTTGATATTTATTCTTAAATTCATATATTATTATTTTTTTGCATTCGCCATCATCTATCCTAATAAATGATCAATTTATCTTCTAAAAATTCTAGTACATTATTAAACACTTCTCTAGAGGTATGACAATACTTATTAAATTATTTTTCTATTATCAAAGTCCAGAATTTCCTCTTTCTACATTACTGTTTTTAATTTGAAATATATTAAAGTATAAATTGTATTGAATTAGAGGAGGTTAGATTTAAGATATTCTCATTCATAACTTTCAAATATTTCAAATAAACGAATTATAAACATAAGTTGCTGATGTATATCGTCAAAAATTTTATTTGTGAATTTGATTTATTACTTTTTACTTTTAAAGTAATTGACTAATCTATCTACAATTGATTTATATTCGATTAGCGAGAATTTTATAATCATAACTAAAGAATTAAATTATTTGAATTTATAATATTAAGCTTTTATATTTTATCTCAACGTATTAATATTGATTATAATATTGATTATAATAATAATCAAAATGAATATATTTTGTATTTTGACATTCATACATATTCAAATTTTAAAAAATGGCATAAAATCTAATATTTATAAATTATATTTATTAAAAACCATCACAACTTCACAAAAATTTCATGCTTGATAAATTATCTGATTATAAATTTGCTTTGTTAAAAGGCAATTTAATTATTGGATTGCTAAATAGTTTGGATATGTCTGAAATATGAGGAGAGAAAGTCAAAAGTTAGATGGTTAGTTCTTCATGTTTAAGATTCTTTCCCTATTTTAGAAACATTTATATTTCAATAAAACAATGATAAGTTCTTTGAAAAATCATATTTAAAATACTTAAATGAATTTTATTTCTTGTTTAATCACTTATCATTATTATTCAAATATAAATAAATTTTTTATACATAAAAGGAATTATTCAAGATACTCTTGTTACAAAAATAATTGCTTTAATTATTACAAATATAATAATAAATACCTTTTAAATAATAATCGTAGGTCTATAGAGTAATGAATTAAAGGAAAGTATTTTACAATGGATGAACATTAATTAAAATAATTGTATAGAATTTTTAAATTTAAAATCAATATTTAATTGATAAAAATGGAACCTATAAATATTGAAAAAAAAAGTAGTAATAATCACTTATAAGTTTGAGGATAGCAGTTATAAAATTATTCAATAATTAAATAATATTATTAGTCACATGAGTTTCAGGGTTGATCAGCAAAAAAAAGATTCTAACTCGAAGAACAAAAGAATTAATAAAATTATATTATTAAAATATGTAAGCAATAAAAAACAATGATTTCTCAATTAATTATGGTTCACTATGTTATTAATATAATAATGTTATTTCTATAATTGGGGGTTGATTATATTTAATTTATAATATATACTGTTTTATAATTTAATGTATTTAATTAAATATTTAATAGTATCATTTTATTATTTAAGAGTTTAAAATGGACATTTTTATATGCAAATATGAAAATCATGAAAATGAGCCGATTATAGGATTTTGTGTTAATTTAACATGTTAAAACCCTAGCTAATATTGTTACAAATGCTTAATGAAAGTGCATTCAGATCATCATCATGATTGTATCAGATTTAAAAACCTATCTGATTTAATCAATTAATATATTTCATTTTAAGGTTAAATTATATAACAATCAAATAAAATATTCAATCAAATAAAAAATTAGATTTAAGCAAATTTCAAAAGAATGGAAGACAATATTAACACTTTAAAAAGTTTGAATTAATTATTAATAACATAAGAATACCTAAAATTCAAATAATCAATGCATATTATCAAATAATACTATTCATTAGAATAATAAAAATAAGAAGGTAAATCTTTATTTATTTAATTTAGAGTTATTTATAAATTAATTAAATGAATTCTAAAAAATTATTAAATAAAATGGAAAAGAGAATCAATAGGAAATGGAAAAAAATTTTGAAGTGGCAAAGTAATTAGCAAATGAAGGAAAACATGAAGATGCTTTAAATTGTATGACAAATCATTATGTCTTTAAAATAAGAAAGATGAGATATTTAGGTGGAAGGGTAATATATATTTTTGTAATATTTATAGGTCAGTCATTATTCTAGTTATAAAGAATAAAAGAAGGAATACAATGTTGTGATATGGCCATCTAATTTAATCCTAAAAATGATATGGCTCATAATAATAAAGGTATTGCATTTAATTAATCATTATTAATAGGATGGGCATTAAACAAATTAAAATAATATAAAGAAGTTATTGAGTAATTAGATAAGGCAATTGAATTGAATCCTAAGAATGATATGGCTCATTATAATAAAGGTATTGCTTTTAATTAATAACTATTAATAGGATCAGCATTAGAAGAATTAAAATAATATAAAGATGCTATAGTGTGCTATGATAAAGCAATAAATTTAAATCCTAAGAATGCTAATGCATATAACAATAAAGGTTGAATATTCATAATATTTAATAGCTTCTGCTTTACATGAAATGAAATAATATAAAAAAGCCATTGAGTTTCATGATAATGCTTTGAGCCTCGGTCAAAATGCTATTTTTTTTTTAAATAAAGGTATAAAATAAAATATTAATAATATTTTTAGCTGAAAGTTTACTTGCTTTGGGGAAAAAAGAAGAAGCTAAAAAGTATTATTAAATTGCACTTAATGCAGAATGTGCAAATAAAGGTTAAATAAAGTAATAACTATAAACATTATGAAATATATTATAAGTTGCATAAATATAGTTTACATTTAAATTATCAATTTACCTTAATTCTTTAACTTCTGCTTTAATCTAATCTATGAAGCATTCTAAATTTTACTCATTTTAATTATAATAAAATTTTATATATTTTTTTTATTTAAATCTTATCATTTTTCATATTGATGATAATATTTTCACCTTATTTAATATTTTTTTTCATTCTTTTTTATAAAATCTTATGTACGAATCTTACTTGGATATATATTAATGACTGATTTTAGTTCATTTATTCTTATTTTGATTTTTTTACCTTTTTTAAAAGTAACAAATATATTGACAATTATGAATATTGATTCTAATATAAATCTTTCATTTGAATCCTACTATGAAATCCTATATATTTTCATTATCCAAAATGCATTTATCTTATTCTAAGATGATGATCTCCGTTCCTTACAATCTAAATTCAAATAGAATTATTTATGACAACATAATCTCTCCCGTTAATAATGTTCAAAAAATTCTAAAGCTTAGAATAATAAATTGGATCAGCAATGATATGAATAGAAACAAAAATATCTGAAGTAAAATATATCAAAGGATTCAAAAAACATGTTTATTTGATATTCATCCCATATCATTTTTGAAAATTTGTAATTAGATAATAAATAAGTTTAATATTAATATCTGAATAAGAAAAGAAAATCAGAGAAAGTTACTTTTTAGCTGTTTTTTATGGTTAATGAAAAGGAAATGGGTAAAGACTCATAATCGATAAACCAGATAAAACTCAAGAAAACTTATATCTTCTATGAGAACTTTATAACAACAAATACTCCCTCTTACCATTATTTCTTTTAATAATTCCAAAAATAATAATTATCTTTTACTTATTTTCTATTTATGAACTTCACAACGTACTCATAATAACAAAAATCCTACTCCTATTATTTTTAACTGATATGCTTTTCATTTATATTACACTAACATTAAACTTTATGAATTATTAACTATTTCATTTTTAAAATTAAATCTTCAATTAAGATATAAAGAAATTGAATTAAAATTAATCATTAATCAGCAATATATTTCTAATGAGAATAAAAATTTTACAATGATTAAAAATTTTGCACCTGATAATTTTCATTCTTTCCTATAAAATAGATTATTTCTTAACGAGCTTATCTTATTTATTTTATATTTAAATAAGAATCTTATTTATGAAAAGGTAGATGATCACTTTCTCATTGCAATTAAAATTGAAATGCAGAATTGGATGATTGAATTAATAATCTATTTAATAAAATATATGGTTGAAAAATTTTTATAAAGTCAATAATTTTATTAAAAAATGTTTGAAGTTTAAGTGATCAAAAAAAGTAAAGAATAAAAAAAATAATAATTCTAATTAATAGAGATTAATTAAGATACTCTAAACACATTTCAATAATAATAAACAAATAAAATTTAGAAAAAGAAAATAAGCAAAAAATAATATGAAATCACAACTTCTAATGAATAATAATTTGCTTAATTAGAAACATTAGAATTTTAAAAAGAAATAATAAAGTCAGGGAATCAATAAAACATCAATGTTAGAAATATCAGGTCTTTATCAACAAATGGGGTAAAGCCAGAATAAAATAATGCTTAATCAATTAATATAAAACAAAAAACAAAAAAAATTGAATTTAGACTCATTCATTAAATAACAAAAAATAATCAATTATTTGAAGCTTTCATATAACATGGTTTTGATGTTATTGATGTTTTAAATAATAATGAATATGAAAAATTACTAATATTTACTAATATCCTATTTTATTATAATAAAAATCAATAATCTTTTGAAAAAGAATTTTCATCCAAAGAATAATATTAAAATAAGATGAGAGGAAAATTATATCATACAACTTATGACGATAATCAAAATCCTAAATTTATCATTTAAGAGGGAGAATTCCTAATTGACATTTATAAAAAATCATTTTTGCTAGATGGCTAAGGAATAGAATATTAAGGAAAATCTAGTTAGCTTAAAAATTAAGGAGAATTTAAAAGAGGAGTATACGTTTAGAGGATACCATAATATTAAAATAAACCTCAATATAAATCATACAGTGTTGAACCAAGAAGAATTAAAATTTTAGAGATTGTTGATGGATAAACAATAATTATAAATAATAAGAATCAAAATGAAAAGAAAAATATTTGGTGTAAATATAATCAATAATTTTCAGAAAGAGATTTAATGATATTAGATTAATAAATGTGGGTAAATAGTAGTATGATTGATTGCTATGCGTCATATCTTAATTAAATCAGTTAAGAAGTATATTTTCAGTAAAACTAAGTATAAAGGTAATAAATTAACAGAATATATTTTGCTCCTAGTAGCTTAATTACAAACTTTGGCCATAATTACAATATCTAACAAGCTACTGAGATATTTCAATAACACTTTCTTGAATTACAGGAAATAAGATTTTCCATTTAAACTATTTATTCTAAAATTGGTTTTCCTATTAATTAAAGAAAGCATTGGTATTTTTTATTGTTTGATTTAAAACAAAAAAATGTGGAGATCTTTAATTCTTTATCATCAACTTTAAAATCTCATCAACCCTTAATAAAATTTCTTTCAGATTTATTAATGCTAGAAAATCCATAAATTAGCATAAGTAACAACTCTGGTTAATAAAATGATGGTTATTCATGCGGCTATCATGTTTGTTAATTTATGAAAACTTGCCAAGAAGCTTAATTTTCAAACAATATAAATTATTAGTACAACGAGAACTAAATCAAAAATATTTTGAGGGATTTGATCAAAGATGGAAATAAATGAGTACCACGTATTGATCCAAACTACATTTATTATTTTCCTCGATAGAACTTATTATTAAATTTATATTTTGCTCTCTATCTTCCATACCTTAGAGAGGTTCTAAATTTGTTTGAAACTGCCTTTTTAGTTTATTTTTATTAAAAGATTTTAATGAAATGTTGATTATATTTATAATCATACAATTAGTTTTTTATAATCTAAATTAATTAATCGTTAATTTTACTTAAAATCTACATCATAAGAATATTATTTTCCTTCATATGCTACAATTTAATAGGATTAATTATAAATTTTTTGTTTTTATTTTAATCGCTTAGAATGTTTTATATGACATAATTGCTTTTTTCTCTTCATTTTTATAATTTCTGGAATTATTATTATTGATTATAGCAATTAATATACTGATTCTGGATAAAAATCAATAAATATGAGTTTTAATAATAAGAGTTTTGTTTTAAATTATTGAGAGATAAATTGACATTACTACTTGTAAACATGGAATATTGCTAATATTTTATATTTTAATAAGCAAGAATTTATTAAAATCATATTATTTAACTTCATTATATTGTTATTTTTAATCATTTATCTTTAAATACTTTTTGAAAATCATTTGAATTATAATTTAAATTGTTATTAATAGTCTTCTATAGACAATTATGAACTCTTTGTAATCATTTACTATGATTAGATGGTAAAAATTTTTGCATTTTAAACCTGATTAGGATTAGGAAAATTCCTCTTCAAAGTGATTTGGATTTAGAAAAGCTCCAAAATTATGATCCAAAAGCATAACATTTTATAATCCTAATAGGTTGATTAAATCTTTTATTTCTCATATTTAACCATTAATAAGCTCAAAATGATTGATGATATAAAGGTTTTTAGATGTTTTTAAATGTAATAATGTTTAATTTATATTAGCCAACAAAAGCATTAAATAATTTTGTATAAAAGATTATCAGCTTATTATAAATAATTATTTGATTAACCCATAATATCATCACTGTCTCAAAATACATTCTATTTATTTTTTCTTTTAGAAATGTTGAAAAAAGGACTCGATTGAAGATTGAACTCAATAAATTTAGTGAAGGTTTTAAGTATCCAAACCCTACATATTTTGATAAAATAATATGAATTTAAGCAGAAAGATATTATCTTAATTAATGATTTTAATTTATCATATTAAATATAAATTATTAATATATGGTTTATGAAACTAGCAAATTATATACAAAGGTTGGATTCTATAATCTCATAAGAAAAATTAGTTCAGATAATGAATTTTAAGAATTAAAGATAAAAATTTAATTACCACATTAATTTATGATAATAATGGTTCCTAATCTTCTATTGTCATAGAGATAGGTGAAGTGGAATGAAAGTATACCAGGAAGGTCAAGTGAGATTGGGAACCGATGATTTCTGATATATAAACTTTTATTTTATTTTTTAAGATAATTTACTTGAGTATTTGAAGGTAAAATGATTGAGAAATAAGAAAAAATAATAAAAAAAAATTTTGAATTAAATGCGAGAGATGAGAGTATGTCAAGGATTGAAATAGAGATATAAATATAAAGATAATTGGATCAAATCAAGTTGAATAGATATATTTATCTGATTCATTTAAGAAAATTAGAAGCTAATCTCCAAATAGTAAATTACAAATTGAAATTTTTCACAATTAGACTGCCATAACAATAAATATATAAATTATACCTACAAAGAGAGTTAAAATTAACTAACATAAAAATTGAGAGAATTTATTAGAGTTAATTAGAGTATCAAATAATTGTTAGTACTACTATTATTAAAATACTTTAGATAAAATATGCAGATTTTTAAAATTATATGGAAGATGATAAATATTGTGGAAATGGATAAAATGATAATTCAAGTCTAGCTGAAGCTGTATTTGTAACTCTCCTTAAAATTGCTTAATTCATTTAATTTAATAAAAGTGGAGAACTTTGAACAAATACTGAATTTTGTAAAAACCTATAAGAATATGTAGGTCCAATAACTTAATTAAAAAATACCATCCTGGACTTTTTCTTAATTCAAATTAATCGAAGTATTCTTAATCTGCTTTTTCCAGATTTGAGGATAACTTTTCTACACTCCATTCAGAAGCAGAAAAATATTACATTAAATCCAATCCTGCTTAATCTCCTCCCCAAAATAATTACAATTTCTAATCAACATACATACTCTATGGTGTAATTATAGCTATTTCATCATCTTTCACCCATTTTACAGTCATTATTGCTAATCCAGAAATTACTACTAAAATTGGTACAAAGATTTCACAAATTAAACCTCTTGTATCCCTTCTGATTATTCTAAATCTTTTTTACATCAATGCAAACAAATGTTAAAAGAAAATTGAAAAACATCCTTCAATTTTTTCAATCTTTAATTATCTCGTCTTTCTTCTCTCTACTTTGTATATCATCTACCTATTTATGTCCAGCTCCTATTTTTGCTACTTTTAAAAATACTTCTTCTAATGTAGTTATACTTATTCCATATGTTGCTATGTGTAAACTTTTTAAATTTTTATCTAAATATTCAAATAAATTTGGAAATTAAACAACTGAATCTATTGGTAATTAAATTACTATTTCAGCAGAAACGTTTGATAAAACAGTAGCAGAGTTTATATAATTAATTACATTATCTATAATTGGTTGAGAATCAATCTATGTATTTTCTTTAACTAAAGTTATATTATATCCTACTCCAAATCTATTCTTCAAAAATACACTACTTCCAGAACACAATAATTTACCTTCACCCATTATACCTATTCTATCACCTAAAAAATCTGCTTCATCCATAAAATGAGTTGTTAATACTATGATTCTATTATCTTTGTAATTCTTTAACATTTCCCAAATATATCTTCTTGCACTTGTGTCCATTCCTGATGTAGGTTCATCTAAATATACTAATTTTGAATTCCCAATAAATGCAATAGCTACTGATAATCTTCTTTTTTATCCACCTGATAGATTTTTACTTAAATAATCTGTTTTATCAGTCAAATCTACATCAGCTATTATTTTAGTTATCTAATCCGAAACTTCACTAGATTTCATTCCTTTGAATTAAGCAAACAATTCTAAATGTTCTTTTACAGTTAGATTATCAAAAAGGATATCATGTTANACTGAATGCTTAGATGAAAGTATATCTTTTAGGATTAAAATTGATGATTTTTGTCCATGTAAAATTGGATATGATGAATATGAAATTAAAGACACTTTATTTGGATGTATTTTCTAAATTAGTTAATTCAGTATGCCATCCAAGATGTTAAACCTGCTTCTAAGCTGCTGATGATACTACAAATTAATATTGTCTAAATTGTATTCCTGGAGAAAAATCGTGTTTTATCAATGAATTCAAATGTGTATGCTAGATAATTATGATGATAATAATGGAACTGTAGATATTTGTTTTTGTAAATTACATTTATTATCATAGTCTGTGATTATACTTGTGGAAGCTATTATAATCTCAACCAATAGGATGTGCAACTTGTTTAGAAAGCTCAAATAGATACTTGACAATTTTAGATTATTGTTTATGTAAATCATCATGTTATGATGATTTAACGGATAACATTATATGCTCAAGTAATATTATATTTATTTTAATATTTTATAGAATGTCATTACACATGGAAAGAATGTGCAAAATAGTTCTGAAAAAGTTGCTTGTACAGAATGTCCTGAAACTAGAATACCTAGTAATCCATTAGTTGGTAATTACGAATGTGTTTGTCAATTTTCGAACTTTTTTGATGATGGATATTCACTAAAATGCCGTTAATGTGATCTTACTTGTAACACTTGTAATGGACCACTTTCATCTAATTGTTTAACATGTGATAACTCATATAGATAGCTTGAATTTTCAACATTCAGCTGCCCAGATTATTATTATGATATCGAATAATTATAATGTGCAAGTATATTTGCTAAAAAATATCAAAAGGATGTCACTTTTCTTTTCAAAAATGTTTCAATAATACTGAAAATGGTTGAATGGTTTGTTCTGATCTTCATTTTAGAGTATTAAAAGGTAAAATATGTAAATGTGCTAATGGATATTATGAAGAACCAAATTAATCATAATTTCAGAGTAATTATTAAAATTTAATAGAATGCTCTTAGAAATGCGAAACTTGTGAAACTACAGAGGACAGATGTTTAACTTGTCCATTTAATTCTCTTCGTATTCTATATCCAATAAAGGGTTGTTTCTGTTCTGCAGAATTATATGATAAAGAAAACGAAATCACCTGTTAAAGTATTTAGTTTATAAATTGAAAGAATGTCACTTTAAATGCAAATTATGGGGAAGATCAATGTCTTTCATGTGATTCTATCACAAATAGAGAACTAAAATTGAATTAATGCTAATGTAAACCTCATTATTTTGAAATTTAAGTTTAGGAATGCCAAAGTAATTATTAAAATTAAGTTTAGTTTGTAGTGCCTTCTGTTATGAATGTTAAAACAATTTTGATAATTGTACTTCGTGTAATGATGATAGATATTTAGATGGTAGTACTTGTAAATGCACGGCTAAAATTTTCGGTGCTGCCATAGGTACATTTGACTTTAATGGATAAGTTAAATGCTAAAGTATTAAATTCATCAATATTAGAGTGCAATTATTCTTGCGGAAGTTGTGATGGTAGTGACGCAACAGATTGCTTTACTTGTATAGAAAATGAGAATAGATATTAAGTAGGAAATACTTGTGTCTGTAAAGATGGATATTTCAATTCAGGATTGCCTGTATGCGAAAGTATTAATAAATTATATTAATAGAATGTGGTTATAAATGTAAAAATTGTAAGTAGAAGGCAGATAACTGCATCTCATGTAAAGATAATACCTTTAGAATTTTTATATCAGGTTCCAATAAATGCTCATGTATATAAAGATATTATGATGATGGGAAGAATGAGTTATGCTCTATTGAATCAAATAGAACTTTTAATGAACAACTTTTTACATGTGATTGCAACATAGGATATTATGATTCTGGTATTGAAATTTGCTAAAAATGCCACTATTCATGTTTAAACTGTAGTTCAGGAGATTATAACTCTTGTATTTAATGTGTAGATTCAAAAACCTCTAATAGAGCATTCCATAATAATACCTGTTAATGTTTATTGGGATATTATGATGATGGTAAATTAATTCAGTGTTAAAAGTGTGATATGTAATGTCTAAATTGTATAGATTAATCTTACTAGTGTTTATCATGTCCTTAAACTAGAAATATATTAAGTAATTGCAAATGTGCAGAGGGATATTACTCATTTAAAGCAATGAACAACATAGATTTTTAATTATTATTAATATTTATCAACAAAAATAGGTCATCTTTTTCTTTTAAGGTAATCAGTTGATTAATTTGATGAAAGAATAAGATTATATTTTTAACCTCAATAAATTTTTTAATTTAATTAAAACTTCTTTCGAAATGAAAATGAAAGATATAATATAATATTATTGCAGATTTATTTATAAATTTAAGAAGATAAAAGATAATTTAATTTTTATATTTATTTTTAAATAATCAATTTTTTTTTTTCTATTGTTCTAAAATAAGTTCTAAAAAGTAACTTCCTTTAGATTTTAGTAATGATCGTAAATCTACTCCTTAAAAATTAAAAAATTCTCCTTTCAAGATTAAAGCATCTTATGCTTAAAAAGGTGATGTTTAGGATATACAAAGTATTGTAAGATAAGAATTAACTAACATAGATGTATAAATAGTACCTTATAGAAAAACATTATTTTTAAAAAGAGGAAAGGGCAATTATGCTAAAATTTTGTTATAATTTTCATTTTAAGATTCAATTTCTGATCCAGTCTAAACATCCCATAAACGAATTTATTTTTCATAGTTAACAGAAACTAAAGTAAGAGCATCAGGAGAGAAACATACAGAATGGATTGATTCGATATAACCATCAAATTTTGCTTTTTATTATTCTGTGTTAACCTCCCAAATACGAATAGATTTATCATGACTACCAGATGCTAATTTACAACCATCAGGAGAGAAGCACACTGCCCAGACTTGATTATTATGCCCATGCAATAAAGCTTTTTATTATTTTGTCTTAACCTCCCATAGACGAATAGACTTGTCATGACTACCAGATGCTAAGATAGTGCCATCTGGAGAAAAACATAATGAATTCACATAACTACAATGACCCTACAATTTGGCTATTTATTATCCTGTCTAAACATCCCATAAACAAATATTCTTATCATTACTACCTGATGCTAAAGTAGTACCATCATTAGAGAAGCATACTGATTGTATAAAACTAGTATGACCATGCAATGTAGCTTTTAATTATGCAGTCTAAACATCCCATAAACGGATAGTCTTATCCCAACTACCAGATGCTAATGTAGTACCATCATTAGAGAAGCATACTGATTGTATATAACAAGTATGACCATGCAATGTAGCTTTTAATTATGCAGTCTTCACATCCCATAAACAAATCGACTGATCCCAACTTCCGGATGCTAACGTTGTACCATCACTACAGAAGCATACTGATTAGACGGCTTCACTATGGCCACACAATTTAGCTTTTTATTATCCTGTTCTAACATCCCATAACCTGATAGACCTATCTTCACTTCCAGATGCTAAAGTATCATCAATAGAGAAGCATACTGAGTAAACTGAATTACTATGACCATACAATTTGGCTTTTTAGCATCCTGTCTAAACATCCCATAAATAGATATTTTTATCTTCGCTACCTGATGCTAAAGTAGTACCATCATGAGAAAACCATACTGAGAATACTATATGACTATGACCATCCAATTTAGCATTTTATTAGCTTGTCTTAACATCCCATAAACGGATAGACTGATCCTAACTACCAGATGCTAATATTGTACTATCAGGAGAGTAGCATACTGATTAAATCCATTTACTGTGACCATCCAATTTGGCTTTTAATTATGCTGTCTTAACATCCCATAAACGGATATACTGATCCCTACTACCAGATGCTAATGTAGTACTATCAGGAGAGAAACATACTGATTAGTAAATGCTAGTATGTCCATCTAATCTGGCTTTTTATTATCCTGTCTTAACATCCCATAAAAGGATACACATATCTTCGCTTCCAGATGCCAAAGTGATATCATCAAGGGAGAAGCATATAGATAGGATTCCACCTCTATGACCATCTAATTTAGCCTTTTTTTTTCTAGTCTGAACATCCCATAAACGTATAGAACTATCTTAACTTCCAGATGCTAATATAGTACCATCTGGAGAGAAACATATTGTAAAGATTGTTCTTGTATGACCGTTCAATTTTTCTATTTATTATTCTGTTTTAATATTCCACAAACGAATAGATGTATCATCACTACATGATGCTAATTTAGTACCATCTGGAGAGAAGCATATTGAGAGGATTCCACCTCTATGACCGTATAATTTGGCCTTTATTTTTCTTGTGTTAATATCCCATAAAAAAATAGAACTATCTTAACTTCCAGATGCTAATATAGTACCATCTGGAGAGAAACATATTGAGAAGATTGTTCTTGTATGACCATTTAATTTTTCTATTTATTATCCTGTTTTGATAGCCCATAAACGAATAGATTTATCATCGCTACTCGATGCCAATATTGTACCATCAGGAGAGATACAGACTGAGTTTACACAATTACTATGTCCTTCTAATTTGTTTAGTTCAAGTGTTTTAATGTTTTACCATTTGCAATTGAAAAGTAGAGCTCCATTTAAATTTACTCCGCTAATATCTACATTTGTAAATTTAGATCCACTTAAATTGCTTCTTGTAAAATTACCCTCAATTAAAGAAGTGTTCTAAATATTGATATTTTTCAAACATTAGTTCCTTAAATCGATCCTCATTTCAACTAATAAGTTCAAAGAATTCGATCCGCATACTATGAATTGGCTATCAATAGCTGTTAGAAGAACTAAAAATTTTAAAAATGAAATGATCTTCTTATTCTCTTTAATTTTCTCAATTACCTCTTTTTTAATTTCTAAGTATTAGACAGTTGAAAAATTATTTTTATTAAAATCATGATCTTTAATTTATTTTAGAATGTTAGAAATTATGTTTATGTTGTTCCTTAAAACATTTGGCTTCTTTTCTTAATCTTCACATGATATATTTTCTATTTTTAAAATGTATTTTTCAAGATGGTTTCGATTCTCCTCTATTGAAAGATATCTTTGACTATCTTATATGCTGTTTTTTCTAAAAATTTGAATTATATGACTGAATATTTATTCATCAACATCTTTAACGTTAGCAAAAACTTCAGATGGATCTTCTTTAAAGTCATAAGTGCTATCCATAATTAAAAAAATATTGGATTTTTATTACTTTAATATAAGGTAAATATTAAAAAAAGAAAAATTAAAAATAAGAGGAATAGAATTTAATTGAGGTTTATTTGGCTATGAATTATCTCTTTTCCTCTTTGTTCACTATGTATAAAAAAAGATAACTTAACTTATAATGTTTCTTATCATAAAGCTTTGAGGTTCCTTAACTCCTCTTTATTACTTTCAAATAAGGTTTGCTGCTCTATATGCCTCAAAATAAAATTGAAAGAGGGAGAGTATAAATAAGATTTGGGGAAATAAGTTGCGAAATTGTGATTGAATGAGTATAATATTCTTACTAAAAAGTTTTCTTAAACCTAAATGGTCCATTATGTTTTATAAGGTGCTCCAGGAACTTTGAAGAAATGTGTATATAGGGAGCAAATCATATATCAAAATAGCATTGTCCAAATTATTCTTCGTTCTCCCTAACCTTTTGGTTTTAAAATGCATTTTTTTATTTATATAATTAATATACATTCAAATATGGTTTTTTTACTCATTTTTTACCTGTTTCAAAATAATAATGATCTATAATTAGGAGGCAATTTATGATGCATCTTATGTTTTATAAGGCTTGATCTGCAAATATTATTAACTATTTATATTTCTACGTTCCAAATTACGCTATGCTTACAGAAATCTATTAAATTAACCAATAAACTTATAGCCAGTTTGAAGATGAATTAGAATGGAAATATATGCTTTTTTCTGATCATTAAAATCCAAATTTAAATTAAGAATAAATAATCTAAGTAAAATAAAAATAAAATTCCATGTCTATCTCTTTGAAATATAAAAAAAGATGAATAATATAATAAAATTTTTTTTTTAAAATAGATAACTTAATAGAGACACACATAATGCTTTGTAAGTTCTCAGGATTCAAACTTAATTTTTATTCTGTAAAATCTGTAAAATTTTAAGCGAGGACAAGCTCAATATCATTTTGGAATCAAGATTGAAGAAAAAATAAACTTAAAATTTGATTTTAAAAAATATTCTATAAAGAAACTACTTTAATATATTTATTTAGTAGATACCTTAGATTATATTTTGTTAATTGTAAAATTTTAAATTGGCTCTAAAGTATTTTTGATTTCTGTAGATCGACTTAATTAACTGCAAAGCTAAACTCAAAATTTAAATCAATAAAGATTGACATTATTAAAAAGACGAATTACAATTAATTGTTTTCATCCTTGATTATGCTCCTAAATATTATTCTAAGTTGGTAAAAACAATTTTTTTTCAAAAGTAGCACACTTATTATAATCGCCATATACTCCTGAACTTAATCTTCTTAAATTATATTGGAATTTTGTAAAAAATAATAAGCCAATATTTATTTTAAGAATATTTATCCTAGTTTACTCAAGATCTTGGGCTAAATGGTAAAGTAGAAACAAAAGGACTCTTAGAAATATTCGTTCCATAGTTTAGAATGCATTGAAGAAGAAGAGTTATTATGAATGAAATTATAGATTATTTTATCAAATTAAGCAATTCGAGATAAAAAATTTAAATTTACCTCAAAAGTTATATATTGTTTTCACGATAAAAATCGAATAGGTCAACTGTTCGAAAGCCATCAAAAAATAATATTTTAATCAACTATATTACAATTTGTTGTTTTATATTGAATAAAAATTAAAAAAATGGTTCATCATTTTCCAAAAGTATTTCGTTAAAATTCATAATTTTATATAAACATTAACAAATATAAACAAGATTCTTAGATATATTTCTTTAAAATACAAAGTACTTTTGAAAAGTGATTTAAATTTTATGAAATTAATATTAAACTTTTGACTTAATTAATTAAAATATTAATGAAAAGAATCTAAGCTTACTAACTCTTTTTTAATAAGGAACAAAAAAACTTGAATAAAGTATCTATAACTATTAAAACTTCAGTTATTTATTTTATATTTTAATGTTGTAAGTAACAATTCATAATTCAGCTCATATTAATAGAATTTTATTAATATATTTAATTGATGAAAGTCCATTTTATTAAATTTATAAATTATAATTAATATTTAGTTTAAAAATATAAGACACGACTAATATATTATAAAAGATCATTATTATATTTGGTTTATAAACTTCAAGCAGGATCCATTTATTTGTGATTGATTTAATATATAAAAAAAATTAAGTAAATACTTGAAAAATTCTATTTGCATCTTGTAATCAAATCCTAATTTTTGAAAATTCTATTGTGGTAGTAATCAGATGATTTCTTTTAAATTTATTGTATTCTTAAGTTGTAGATCTACATAGTTTATTTTCAAGGAATCAAAGGAATTTCTTTCTGATCATTTCTAAATTTCTTTTCTTTATTTTTCATTACCTTAAAAAGCTTCTTTTAATGTTTAGTAATTTCTATTTACTTACTCTTACTAAATTATAACTAAATCCTCTGCTTATCCATTTGTATTTCCATATTTATTTCTCTTTAGGTGAATTATTCCAGGTAATCAAATACTCTCCATTATCACTCATTTACTCGAATAAATTTATATAGTCAAATGAAATAGATTACTCAAAATTAAATTCATTATTTTCTGTTTTTCTTATTAAATTGATATTATTCTGCTTATTCACAAGTAACTAATAGATTTTATATATTATTATGGGAAGAATACAATTCCATCTCTATCACTTTCATCCAGAGAAGTATGTTTAGTTTTAATAATCGATTTATTTACACTATTCATCTCATAGATAAGCGTCAAATTACCTTTATAAGATTGAAATGTGAAAAGATTATAGTTGACAAAACATAATAATGTTCTTAGCAATCAACTTAATATTTATATTGCCATCCATTTTATTTTATTCTTCATTCAAACTTAATTAGTACATTTAATGTTGATGATCGGTGATTGTTTATTAACAGACCCATCCATTTTTATTAGTCAAAAACTTAATAGTTTTATCATTGCTACTTGATATGAGAATATCCTCATTATTATTCACCTAATTGCATTTTTAAAGTGCTCAATTCATTTTTATGTTGATTTTTAACTCATTTTTTTAAATCTCAACTATTAAATTTACTTTAGTGTATAAGGAATATAAACAATAAAATATGACATTAATAATTGTATATTTTTTGTATTTACAATAATAATTATTACTGAATAACTCATATAAAATTAATAATAGTTAATTAAAGCAATATTTAGATTTAATTAAGGTAATTTACAATTACTAAGATCTTGATGCATATATCTTGTATTCTGAATAAGTTTAATGGCTACAACAATTTATCCGAATGTGGTTCTTCTTTAATCTTTATACAAGAGTTTCTCCTCTTGTCTAATCTAATGAAATATAACATTATATTCTAGCTTCATTATGATCATAACATTTTAATGTACTAGTATGATCTCAAGATTTCATTACCTTTATTTCATTATCAATTACTCCTATATATATGTATATTTAAATACTCTCCATTAATCAGGATCTTTCTGAATTAGCATTTCTTAAAAAAATGCTTTAGTTGCTAATTTAATTCCATTTGTTTTTCTTTTACAGTAAAATAAAATTGAATAATTATTTAATAATATAATAATATAATAAAAGCAAAACTTCCACTTTCTATTAATTTTTCAAGTTCATTCTAGGTTTAATAATCTAATAGTGAATTTAGGATTTAATTTAATTCCCAAGATTCAGACTTATCTATAAATAAATTCAATATATATTTTATTTTATAAATATAAATTTTTATATAAGATTTAATTAAATGTATTATTTATATTGACAATCATTTCTTCTAATCTCAAAATAATGGAATCAGTTTCATATTTAATTACTATTTCATAGTGCTGTTAGGTAATGTCATTTTTAATATTTTTAAAGACAAAAGATCTAATAATGAACTACCTTTTTAAACAAAATATTTTGATGACACATAATTTGTATAGGATTATTTTTTTAGATAGAAATTAGGATTATAATTGAAATCTAGGTATTCTATTAACATCTATTTATGCTGGTTCAAATATTTTATTTTTACATTCTGAAAACTTATTATCATTTTATAATTAATTAATATAAATATAAAAAAATCGCACTTAAAATTACTTAGTCTCTTATAGTAATTTATTCAAAATATTTGCATTTCAAGCAAATATAAATATTTATTTTTCTATTGCTCTTGTAAAATCAGAACTTAATAGACTAATTAGTAATTTCTTGGTTCATATTGTATTCATCTTATTTATTTCTATATTATCTTTTATTTATTTTAAATTCATTTTAATTATATCTTAAATTTAGAATCAAATATTTGAATAAACACTTGTTAAATTTCCTTTCCTATTTAATATCAAATATATTTATACTTTAATGAAACTACAATCCTTAAAGAATACATAATTACCATTGGAGCTGGTTTAACCTTAAATTCTCTAAGTTATATTTTCTCCAAAACATTAATTGCATGAGACTCCAAAGTTGAAGGCTCTAAAGAAGTTATCAATTTTACTACCATAATAGAAATAACAAAGATTCCAAGCACACAAACAATAAATAAATCAAACCTACCAAAAATAGTTCAAGTATAAAAATCCCCTTATCCAACTGTTTTTATAGATATAATAATATTCTAGACAGAATTGTCATATTTACCTAGATTTTTATTACTAGGATTATTTCTAGTTAAGGTCTATAATGGTAACCATTAATCTTTCTATCTTTACAACTTATTAAATTTCTAAATTTCAACCAATTCATATGTTAGTCATATCTTACTACTGTAAAACACAATAATAACAATATTGTAGATATTAAAATCATCCATAATATCTTAACTGACAGCCATTTTCCTCTTCAAACTCAAGATCATATGATAATACAGTCCCTAATAATCCAATTGAATAAGAAACATATCTGTTCAATTATTAAGAACTTTCGAAATTATAACTTTTTTATCTTGCCTATCTTATTTGATTCATTTATTTACCAACTTGGGGTTGGGGTTGGGTTTGGGGTTGGGG